GAGAGAAATAGTTCATTGGACACACTGGAAGACCGCAAGCATTTCAAAGCTGTTTTCGGTATCTCACAAAGGCCCAAACTGCAACCATGGTGAGGGCAAACACTGGTAGCAGCACCATGGCTACAGGAATCCCACTTGGTTCTCCTTCACCTCGATGTACTATAGGTCCATTCTGCACTGGTAACTGAAAGAGAAGGAGAAATATTAAATCTGACTACTGCATATGCCACAACTAAAATATCCAAGTTGACAATTACCTGGAGGTGTAATCTACACCATCCAAAGCTATAAACCCCACACAACCTAGCAGAAGGAGGTCTTGTCCTAGCTGATGCATCACTTTCACAGATACTCTGGGAAAAATAGTTCTGATAGGGAAGCATTTAACTTTGCTTGGTACTGACTTAATGGGACCTCACGGGGTAAAGTAAATCATTTCTGTTTCTATAATGCCTCTATCTTGCTATATATGTTTCCTATCAGAAAAAATGAAGGGATGAGATGAAACCTATGATCCTTCAGGAAGTCTGGATATTGCTGAGCAGCAAAGGGAGAGAAAGAAGACTTCTTTTTGGAAATATTTACTTACAAAGACTATCAGTCATTAGAATACAGTAAGAGCAGATCCAGACAGTGTCAACACAGTTGCAATGACATTATTTAGAAACACCATACAGCTTCCAAGTCATCCTCTTGCTCCTAAGATGGAGTCTTGTCCCCCATGCCTAAGTTTGCAATGCTGTCACACTCACATTCTGTTTGCAACTCTGGTTGCTTTCTTGGATAGCTTTATATTTTGCCTTTCTTATTTTTCTTTTCTTTAGTTTTTGTTTTCAGACAAGAGTCTCACCATGTAGTTCAAGTTAGCTTCTGTTTCTCCAGTTTTTTACTAGCTCCTTTTAATTTTCTTCAGCCTTTGAATCCTCACTTGGCCTCTTAGCAAAGAACAGACCAAGTTAAGAAAGAATCATAGGCACAGTGAACTTGGGCTATAGATGAACTCAGAAATCCTTGGTGCTGTAAGAGGAACTCGGACCTCCTTCCTATCATCCAAATTATCAATGGTGGTGCATGCCTTTAATCCCAGCACTCAGGAGGCAGAGCAGGCAGATCTCTGAGCTCAAGGCCAACCTGATCTACAGAGTGAGTTCCAGAAGAGCCAGGGCTACATAGAGAGACACTGTCTTAAAAAAAAAAAAAAAAAAACAAGAAAGAAAGAAAAAAGAAGCAGATGTAAAGAGTCTCAATTCCACTTCCTTTTTCTTAAGAGTTGCCCTTCAAGTTGCACTCAGGTCTTAGCCAATGTGGTCATAGAAGAAGCCTTATAACAGGAGACAGAAAACATAACCATCTTTGTAGTCATAAATAAGAGTTTTCAAAGGTACACAAATAGTGCTTTCTTTAAAAAAAAAAAAAAAAGTGAAGTGATTCTATTTTCTTTCCATTTTTCATTTGACTAAACTTTACCTTTTTTTAAAAAAATTACACTGAAGGTAGGACCTGGGTTCTAAGTATAGTGTTATACACTTCTTTTACTGATAAACAGAAATGCCAAAGGACTCCTGTGTATGCTAGACAAACCCTACAATGCAGTAATAGCAAAAGAAAAAAATAAAGCAGACTTTGAAGATTACATCCACAAGTTTATTCACAAGTGCAGTGAGAAAGCCTACTGTCCCACATCTGGCTGGAAGTGATACCTACCCTATGCTGTACTCTCAGGGACACAGCATATCCCGCATTACGAAAGAGGTCTACAGCATCCTGGTGTAGCAGGTTCTTTAAGTCTCGGCCATTTACCTTTCAAAAACAGCAAGAAAGAGAGCTAAGAAAGGCAAGGGACTAAGTCTCATAAGTGAACAATTTACTTTCATGCAGGCAACCATCCCTTTATTAAAAATGAAACCAAACTCTTTCAAGGCAAATCCCAAGGGCTAGGAGTATGGGCTAAGTTACTTAGCACTCATGAGGAAGTTTCTTCATTTTCAAAGTTAGGTTTTCCTACAACTTGGGATCCATGAACCATCTGAAATGAACCCAGATTTAAATAGATTCCTTTCTCTTCCTTCTGAGCTTCTGTGCTTATCTTGTTTGGATGTATGGGTTTCTGTTACTGTATCTGCATAGCACCTGTGGATATTTGTCTGTTTCTATATAGCTAATGTCAGGAATCTTCTAGGTTATCCCCTTATCCTTTATATTCCTAATCCTCAGCATTTCTAGCTTCAGCCCTGGAAACCTAATTCTATGTCCCCAAATTTATTTCCATATTGTGTAAATCTACACTAGCCCATTCTAGTGAGCTTATCTTATTGTGAACAATTTCCATTGGTTCCATGTATATTCCTGTCCTCACATTTACTAAATATCTATTTATATGATGCTACGCACCTTTAAGATGACTTGATGTAGGTCATTCCTACTACACAGAGGTGACAAATGTAAAGCACTAGTACTTTTTGGTATTAGGAAGCACAAGTGGTATCAATACTGCACTCAGTAACTCAACACATGCCACTTTGTGCAAGATTGCATTATTTTTTATACATGTCACTGTCACTATTAACAGCACTAGCAGTAAGAATATTTAGTGGATTTAGTAGATTCTGTACTTTACATACACTATCAAATTTAATTCCTACAGTTACCCTATGAGCTAGACTGCATTTTTATACTAACTTTTCTAGATGAAGTAATTGACACAGAGATCCTGAGTGTAGAAGCTAGGGCTAGAGATTTTAAATACTGGAATGAAGAAGTTCCCTTGCATTTCACTGTTCTTTGACTGTTCCCATTTTCCCACCCTGACCTGCTAACTGCCCCTTAGCTGAAGCTGAAGCTATTTACATGTCTGCTCGTCTCAGCATTCTCATCACAGTCTTAGGTTAGGTTTTAGACAAGAGTGCGTTGGTCAAGAGGGTACTGAGACACATCAAGCCTGTGTACTGTTCGCATTTGTTGGAAGCCCAGGAAAAGTCCAGTGGGGGAGCTTATGTAAATGGTCCCGACCAAATCCCCTTATTGAGAAGTGGATATGGAGTTTGAGAAACACAGCAGCTGGGGAAATGTCCCACTCACAGTAGGTGAGACAGAGTAGTCAACAGAAGAAAGAGGAGTCAGAGGCGGGCTTGACAGCATTAGTGAGAAGACATAGAGAAGCGTCTGATCACCCCACAGAAGTCCATCTCAGTGTCATCGTGAACCACTAGCCCCATCAAAACCCAATGTCTTCCTTCTGTAACAGATTTATAGTGTTCCTTCTACTCTTAAGTCTTGCTAGTATCTTTGATAAGTGAAGCTACCAACACTTTTATTTTAAAGACTGAATATTTTCAATAATTATAATTTCTTTAGTTACCAATTGAGACAAACTCAGACATTAACATTAGACATACTAGACAAATATCCAACCCTAAAACCTGGCCACAATTTCTGCTCTTCATACTTTTATTCCTCCATTAGATTTCCTCTTTATTGTTATCAGTGCTTTTAACCTCTTCATATTTTACATGCATTTGCCCATGTAGGATTTTGGCTGTAAATTCAACAAAGCACCTCATAAATTATTAGAGTCTCTTGTCCTGGTTACCTGACATCCAGTCCTGGGAATACACTGCATCTATGTTCCTTGCCATCATTCAGTTGAGTATTCCCACAGAAAAGCATGGTCACATTCTGTACACAGATCCAAGTTAGCTGCTACAGCTTATCTTTAAGACCATTCTATTCATCAAGCAAACTCATTAATAAATACTCATCAATATCTGTTACACATCTTCTCCATTATCCTGACCCTGATTCCCTTCAGCAGATTCCTTTGCTTTATCCTTTGTGAGAATACTAAAGGCAGCTCACTCTTTCCCTTTTATCTTCTCCCTCAAATTCTGATATTCCCTTGATGTTCCTTTTCCCTCATCTCTAATTAAGTCTATTATATTTATCAAGAATAACCCATTTACTCTGTCTTTACAAAACTCAGTCGCTCTCTTCTCATTTTATCTTTTGCTGCTCCTTCTCAACTGAAGCCACTATCCTCTATAAAGAAAGCAATGGATGTACATAGCTGAACCCTTCCTCTCTTCTTTTTCTTCCCCTGCAAAAAAATTGTTGAAAAAACCATTTGCAGGGCTAGAGAGATGACTCTTTGGCCAAGAGCACTGGCTGTTCTTCCAGACAACCTGGGTTCCATTCCCAGCACCATGGCAGCTTACAACCATCTGTATCTCCAGTTCCAGGGGATTTGATGCCTTCATTTGGCCTCTGCAGGCACCCGGCACACACGTGATACACACATATCCATACACACAGGCAAAACACCATGCACAATAAAAACAAACAAACAAAACTGTGTACATGTACTGTGTGTACTTCCTCCACATCCATTAAATATTTATTCCCTTCATATATAAAGTGAAACAACAATCTCTCCTGAAGGTCAGATGGGACTTCAAATACACAACTCTTACCACTTTCTCACAACTTGTAGACCACCTCCTTTTGTAATCATCTCCTATGTTAGATGATGAATACTTAGCTCTCTGGTTTTTTTCCTTGATTACTGTGCCATTCTCTGTCTCTCTGTCGTGTCTCTGTCTCTCCCTCTCTCTTTCTCTCTCAAGGTAGGTATAAATTCTTGATTGTTAACTATTTTTCTTTCTGTTTTTCTCACATGGTCATCTTTCACCATTTCCACCATATTCACCAAAATAACTCTACTTTGGGATTTACCAATGTCCAACTGGATGCTGATACTTAGATAATCTGGATTATCTAAGTAGAATCCAATTCAGTATATTCAAAGTCTATATAACTGTCCACAAAAGCAGAATATCCTAACTTCTCTCTTAATGACACTCCTACCCCTTCATTTAGATGTATAATTTTTAAACACTCTGTAGTCAGTTAATTGGCACATGTAGTATCTGTCTTGCAGTCAAACACCATGACTTTATACTATTTTCTCTCCTAAGGCTGCCAATTTAGGTTACGGACACTTAATTATAGTGACTTTTTTCTGATTTACTTTCCACAGTTTCTCCCCATTCCTACCTTAAATGTTATCTCACAATCCACTTTCCTACAATACAATTCTGTTAGTAACTATTGTACTGTTCAAAACATACAAATGAAACTGCTAAGTAAGGAAAACATGTGCTCTTGACTTACTACACTAGTGTGAAAAGTTCTCCAGCACATCTGTTTAATCTCTCACTAACTTCCTTCCATATATGATTAACAAACTCCTTCATCAACAATACGAAATGCAGCTGACTAATGGCCCAATCTCTGCCACCACTAGGACTTTTATAGGGGGCTGGTCAAAATGGAACACTCAGATCTGTGGTATATAAGAACCAGCTACATTGCCATGAACTTCATAAAGATATAAAGTGTACACAGAGGAATGACTGTTCTTTACTAGCTTCCCTCCCTTCATTCAGGCACACAGGAGAAATGAGAAACTTCTACCATTTCTTTACCATAAAAAAAAAAATCCTCCCCGCTTCCAGTATCAAACCATTCTTACCAACACACACAAAACAAACAATGGGTGAAGCATGTCTAGTTCTTCAGATTCATTATGAACCCCTGCTTCTGTTTCATTCAGAGTGTAAATGATTGTATTTTTAAAAGTGTTTACATTGCTTAGTTAAATTTTTATTATCTTTTGGTATAAATCATATGCAGTGGCCATAGAAAATTAAATTCCGAGGCTGGAGAAATGGCTCAGAGGTTAAGAGCACTGACTGATTTTCTAGAGGTCCTCAGTTCATTTCCCAGCAACCACATAGTGGCTCACAACCATCTGTAATGAGATCTGGTGCCCTCTTCTGGCCTGCAGGTAGAACACTGTATACATAATAAATAAATAAATCTTAAAAAAGAAAATTAAATTCCACTTCTTATGAGAAAAGAAGAAACTGCACAATATATCATACAGTTTTTCCATTCCAGAACTTGATCAAGACAACATATGGAGCATATTTAGGGAGGATGAGAAGAGTAAATTAAGAGTGTAATAACTCATAGGAAATTCATACTTAATGACTCTCTTCATTATCTACATTCTCTATGTGTGCCTGTGTGCTAAAAAAAGGAACAGAGTTTTAGTCTGATAATTTAGGAAATGTTAGAAAAGCACAGAGCACATTTTACAACACAGAAAGTATTCCACACAAATAGGAAAACCAATTAGAAATAAACTGAATGGGCTGAAGAGATATAGCAGAACACAAACTAGCATGTGCAAGGCCCTGCACCCAGTCCCTAAAACTGCAAAATAACTAACTGAACAAAATAAGCTAACCAGTCATTTAGCTACATTTTACAGATACATCACAGGCAATAAGAAATGAAAACTTAAGGCACTAGAGATGAAGCAAGTTAAACAGATGGAACTTTTCAAAGTAACAGCCGACAAGGTTCACTTTAAAGACGAAAGAGGCGGTCATGGCTTGGCTAAGCAACAGCCACTACTTGCATCTTTTTTGTTTGCTTGTTCGGCTGTTTTTTCTGTTTGATTTTTTTTTTTTCCTTTTCTTTCTTCCTTTTTTTTGAAACAGGGTTTCTCTGTGCAGCCCTGGCTGTCCTGGAATTTGCTCTGTAGACCAAGCCGGTCTTGAACTCAGAGATTAGCCTGCCAGTGCCTCCTGAGTGCTGAGATTAAAAGTGGGTTATACCATTAATTCGATCCTTCATAGAAAGATTAATTTCAGTTCTTTTACAAAGCCATCCTATCATCTACTATTTATTCACTATGTAACTTCCTTTTTAGAGTAATTAATCTTACTTTTTCATTTACAATATAGTGTTAATGTTACTATTAGTATTAGTTTTAGCAAAGGATCCAAAATCAGATAGATAAAAGGTTTATTTCCCCAACACTAGTTATGTACCGTGTAAACCACCTGACTTCATCAACCTCAGTTTTCTTAGCTGCAAAATGAGCATAATGATTATACCCACTATATTAGACATGATTACATTGAAAGTTGTCATTTTGTGCTTTGAAACTGTTCATAATTCTTTTTTAGGTAATTTACCTTTAAGCAAAGCTTTCCAAAGAACATGGCTCTCTTTTTAAGCTCTATATTGAACCCTATACTTTGCAAGTCTCTCTTCACTCATAGTGCTAGTGTTTGGAGAGATTGTGATTTCTGTGTCGAAATACTAATTATACATTGTACCTTTAACAACTCACCCACAATTTTTCTTTTCTGTCCTATTGCAAAGTTGATTTGTATTTTTACAACGTCTTTCTTCTGAGGATGACAAAATACCTACTCCTAAATTCTTCATTATTGTTTTCATAACAAAAGCAGTTATCACTGTCCCTATATTGTGGTCTAATTAGTGGGCTGAAACATGGCACTCAGTGAGCTGGACTAAAATAATGCCATCCATGGTAATTATATATTGGACATATTCTTAAGCTTCCTAAATTATTTTATAAACCTTTCATAACTACTTGTCCTGATTTATGTGTATCTCTTTTTTTGAGACAGGATCTTGCTAAGTAAGTAATTCATAATTGAACTCAACATGTTCCTGCTTCTGCCTCCTGAGTATTAGAGGACTACAGGTGTGTGCTGCCATGCCTGGCTGTGTGTCTTTCTAAGGAGACATTCAAAACTGAACCAGATCTCTCAAATATGCAGATGTCAAGTGAAAAAAGGTATACATTCTTCCTGCCTTTATATACTGCTACCAAATGAATTAGATGGCAGAGAGGTATCCAATAAGCTGATACCTAAGAAGACCAGGAAACTTCACACATATGACTTTTACCACTAATCAACTGAACTCTATGACAGGCAATTCAAAAGACAAAAATTCAAAACTATAAGAAAATCTTTTAAAAGGCTATTCTTGTTTTATGGAAGTTCTAAATCGAGTCTCCAACATAATAATTAAATCTTAATCAAATCTTGTCTTGGTCTACACTTTATTTACTTCAGCCTTTTACCAGTTCGGCCCTTTTGCCCTATTCAGTTCATAAGACAAAGTAGGAAATAACTTCCTCTTCTTTAGACCATGAGCCATGATGCACAGCACATATGGAAATGGGGCACTTCTGCCATGAGAAGTTCCATGCTACTTCAAATGTCTCTTAATTTGAGAATAGCCCTTTGCAGCTAGTCTATCTCCCAGGAAATCCTCGATAACAGTTCACTCTCTCAGTATTTTCCCATTCTTTATACCCATTATGTGTATTATTTCCATACAAATAAACTAAGCAATAGCAGCCCAAAATATTAATTTTAAAAAATCTAGGGGTTGGGGATTTAGCCCAGTGGTAGAGAGCTTGCCTAGCAAGCACAAGGCCCTGGGTTCGGTCCTCAGCCCTGGGAAAAAAAAAAAAAGAAAGAAAGAAAAAAAAAATCTATAGCATGATCTAACCTTCCCTAACTACCACAACTGGTAACATAATAACAACACTGTAGTCAGTGAGTAGAACAGAAATAAAAGAGACAGCCACAAATAGGAGTTTTAAAAGTTTTATTCTGCCTGGACTCTGATTTACTTTAGGAGTATTCAATTTAGTCTAAGACTAAGAGTCCGGGGCTGGAAAGATGGCTCAGCAGTTAAAAGCATGTACTATTCTTTCTGAGGACCTGAGTCCGGTTCCCAGCAACCACATGGAACAGCTCACAATTGCCTGTAACTCTTGCTCCAGGAGGATCCAATACCTCTTGCTCCCATGGGCACCAGCACTCACGTGCACATATCCCCCTACACACACACATACACATACACATACTTCAAAAAATAAATGGTTTTAAAAGGCTAAGGTTCTGTGAGCCCATATGACTGTATTTATTAGTCAACCTTTCTAAGTTTGCATGAATTTTCTGATTTGCTCATGTTAAGCCTATGTTGAGCACTGTACTAAGATATGGAAAGTTAAAAGGAAATCTAAATACTGTCTTTGAGTATATAAGAAAATAAGATTCATGATTACTATACAGTAAGAGACATTAACAGGATGAAATGGGAGCACAATTGGCAGATATCCAAACTCTATTTCAATTTTTCATTTTAATACTAAGAAAGGAAGGGCCCTGAATTGAAGGAAGAAAATAATCCTTACCTCCCTTTTTGAAATTAAGACCATTAGTAAAGGCTGACAGCATCCCAAAAAAAGGCACAAATAAGTGTTTTAATCAACAAAAAAGAGGTGATAAAGCTAACAAGACAAAAATTAAAACTGTGGGTTTAAATCTCCTTCCTCCAAACCAATCCTTCATCTCTACTTGCTTTTTCACATTCTATGTTAAATTTGCCTTATCTGTCAAGCAAGAATACTATCCTCTAAGACGAATGGTAAAGTTGGAAGACTCATCAATGTTCTTCCCATTCAATAATACAATCTAGGTAATTCATTTCCAAACAGGCAGATAGAAATCTTCCCAAGTAAGGGGTCGAAGGAGGTCAAGGGAGCAAAATATAGCAAAGGGAGCCGAAGCCATATCTCACCGAGAGGATCTTATCACCCTCCTGGAGCCGCCCATCCCGGGCCGCAGCCCCATCCTCTTTGATGCGGCTGACGTAGATGCCACTGTCGTTGGAGACATACTGTTGATCTGTCCCACCGACGATGTTGAAGCCCAGCCCTGAGAAAATCATGGAGGAGTGAAGGAGAGGGGGTGAAGAAGAAAGAAAGATTAGAGGAGAAGAAAGGAGAGAAAAATGGTCTAGAGGGGAGGAGAGGTTGGCAATTCAGACTGTAAGGTTGGGAGTTAACACAGTCATTAGCAAAGTCAGCAAGTCATTACCAACAAAGGCCAAAGTACCTAGATTGCTAATCTGAACCAGGCAGTACTGAAATTACATACACAGTGATCAAAATGACTGGTCCAATATACTGAGCTATACATAACGTGGGAAAATAATAATGGTGAGTCCTGTAAGATATAAGTGCGTCTGCTCAGACTTAATATTGATCCTGTTGGTGACATTCAGATGACCCAAATCCTGGTATTCTTATATTAGTGTAAGAGGGTTAGCTGTGCTCACAAAAAGCTTTGTTTTTTAACTAATTATCAAATAAAATGTTATCAATTTAGTGAGAAAAGGGTTGCTAACTGAAGCCTCTCCTTCACGTGTTTCTTCTGTCAAGATTTGAGAACACCTGTACATGCTAGTGTTTTGGAAGATGCAGTCTTGGTAGTTTCTCTTTTTCTATTTTGTACTGGGATAGGAGAGTAGTGATATGGTTGTTAGCAGGAATGTTGCCGGAGGGCTTCTCTCCAGGTTCCCCAAGCCCCGCAGTCCCACAATCCACATATAAAATAATCACTCAGACGCTTACATCACTTATAAACTGTATGGCCGTGGCAGGCTTCTTGCTAACTGTTCTTTTATCTTAAATTAACCCATTTTTATAAATCTATACCTTGCCACGTGGCTGGGGGCTTCCCAGCATCTTCACAGCTCTTCTCCTGGCGGTGGCTGCAGTGTCTCTCCCTCCTTCTTCCTGTTTCCCCAATTCTCCTCTCTCTTTGTCCCGCCTATACTTCCTGCCTGGTCACTGGCCATCAGTGTTTTATTTACATAGAGTAATATCCACAGCACAGGAAACCTCAGAACTCCTGCTTTACAGGAGAATCAAATCACCAAATTCACTCTTTTCTTTCTACTTCGAGTACAACTGATCACATACCTGCACATAGCCAAGTTTACTCACTGAAGAAAAAATAACTCCTTACTGATTGGTAGTTGCGTACCTCCTTGCTCCTAGTCCCTGGTAACCACTATTCTATTCTTTCTCTGAGTTTAATTAGTTTATAAGAGTAAAATATTTCAGTTACAGAAGAAAGATTCTAGAGATCTGCTGTACAAGACTGTGTCTGCCCAAAATAATATATGGTATATTTTCCAATCTGTTAATACAGTATAGCTAAGTTTCTTACTATAATAAAATATGGTAAGCAAACAAGTTAGCTGTTTAACTAACTAAAATTTAATTTTCACAAACCAACCACTAAGCTGTGACAAGGATTTTAATCTACAAAAATTATTTGATTTCTTTGAGGAAACTTTTAAAACTTATATACAAAAGAAAAAAGGGGAAAAAGGGAGAAAGGGTAAGAGAGAATAGAAAAAGAAATAAGAGAGAAAAAGGAACCTATCTTCTTTATGTAACTACAGTCATAATTCAGGGACACGGTACAAAGAGAAGGAAGACAGTTGGAAACAATTTAAAAAACAAAAATATGTTAGTGCAATGGGAAGGGAAAGCCAGTTATCAGTCTCCTAATGATCTCAGTAGAGACCATATCACTAAAGAGATAGATGTAGGCTTTCTCTAAAGTCCTTTCCATGGGTAGAATGAAGCTAAGACTCAAAGAACTAACACAGCACTATCAAATCAATCCACAATTTAATGAGAAATATAACCAAAGAAGAAACATCAGGAAGTTTATGATTTAAATAGCATATCTTGTACATGGAGACTCTGCCACCAGATAGTTTTGTGGGTTTTTGTTTGTTTGCATTTGTTTGAGGATTTATGATACACACAACAGAAAGAACTACTTCTAGAAGACTGTTTTCATACCCCTGGAGGGTAGGGTAGAAAAAACAGGAACTCTAAACTACTTATTCATTTTTTACATAATTCTCTTAATTTAAATTCATGACTGTAGGTTAAGTGGGGAGGGGCTGGTAAGGTAGCATAAACCAGATCATGAAAGGCTTCATAAAGACTTAGAAATAATGACAGGTTTGAGCAAGGGGCTGGGGCCAATCAGTTTCTCTCAGTGCTGAAACAAACCAGAGGAAAGGCTTCCAGTGAAATTCAATGTTTCCACTATGGTGTGAGTCTCTCACCAAACAGTTACCATCTTTGAAGATCTTGGAAATGAGGAACAAGTGTTAAGTGGACAAATGAAACACAGTGATTTGCCAAACGGACTTTGTTCCAGGTTATTTAAAGCTACAAAACAGCATCTAAAAAGCAGTAAAAGAAACCTTACTAAGATCTATTATTCACTCCCCGCCCCCTCCCCAGTACCATATTATAGTGGTACATTTATTTAACACATTGTTATTTCTGTTTAAGTGAACCAAATCACTTAAAATGAGAACTCTTAGATTAACTAAAGACCTTTCTTCAACCATATTTACAAAAATGAACTCATCTATACCTTAAAACTTGGGCAGGAGTGAATGACAGTTACCACAGCAGTGAGCAATGACATTATAGCTCACACTGGAGGCTGGAGATACAGCGCAGTGATAGAGAGAGCATTTGCCTAGCATGCTGGGCAATGCACAGCTCTACCAATAAACAAACAGATAAAAATCTTAGCCCTATATATATTTACATAATTCCTAGTCCAATTTGTTCAATAAAAATCACTGACCATTTACTAGTGGTCAGCCACTATATTATGGCCTAAGGAAGATGGAAAGCTAAACTGTACTAAACTGTTCAGTTCTGACTTGAACCACAAACAAATGTATCCTTTTCCCTGTCCCTTTAAATAATGCATAAGTCAGAAGAATTAGTTTCAAGTTCAACTCCAAAATTTACCAGATGTGGATGGCAACAAATCAGTTTAAATCTCATTTGCTTTCTTTTCTAGAAAATAAGGATTACAAATTCTACCCTCTCTTCTTCAAAGATAATTGTTAGACTCCAGTAACAAAATCTGAAAAATTTCTTTGTAACACATAGTAACTGTTACACTGGAGAAAGGCACTATCAGTTTCTGTCAATAAACTAGTGACTGTTAAATTTCCAAGTAAGAGTCTGGTGGGGCAAGGAGGATGATGTAGACATGAAAATTCTTTTAAAACTGAGAAAACATAGGGATTAAAAAGTTACCCATCGCCAGGCGGTGGTGGCGCACGCCTTTAATCCCAGCACTTGGGAGGCAGAGGCAGGCGGACTTCTGTGAGTTCGAGGCCAGCCTGGGCTACAGAGTGAGTTCCAGGAAAAGGCGCAAAGCTACACAGAGAAACCCTGTCTCGAGAAAAAAAAAAAAAAGTTACCAATCTATACATATAAAAGACTTGATTAGAACTCAAATTCACTTGTAATTTATTTCCTAAGAATCCTCTTCAAAACTAGTTCATAGTTCAAATTCACTTGTAATTTATTTCCTAAGAATCCTCTTCAAAACTAGTTCATGCTCAGTGGTTAAGAGGACTGGACTGGTTGCTTTTCCAGAGACCTGGGTTTGATTCCCAGAAACCACACAGTGGCTCATAACCATCTACAACTCCAGTTCCAGAAGCCCTCTTCTGACCGCTGAAGGTACCAGGCTTGCATGTGGCATGCATACATACATACATTCATGCAAAACACTCACAAAAGATAAAAGATAGATTTTTTTTTTTTAGCAAGAGTAATACTTAAATCTGTAGTAATTATCCAGCAAATGTACCAACCAACTAGAACAGGTTATTAGCTGAGAACAACTAGAGGGGATAGAATAGTTAAGTTATTTAGTATATATCAGCTAACTATCAGCAGCAACCAAGAAAATATTTTGTAAGCAGAGTGGGCATATACTCTGGTTTGTTGGGAATTTTGGTATACATCTACTGCCCTAGTATTGTTAAGATTCACTTTTAAATTTCAAAAACACCCCAAGTAGGGCAAATGTGATTATCCCACCTACAAAAAATAATACAAGAATATATTCATTGCAACCCACAATGTACTAGTGTGGAAGTGAGAGTTATCTAGGTTAGAGAGTAGATTAAAAGTTAAAAATTAGAATCATTTAATAATTATGTACAGTAACATGAATAAAATTCTGAAGTGTTATTTAGATAAATAAGAACACACACACATACAAAATTGTATTACCTATTTACAAAAAGGCACACATATTTAAGGATGTGTAAAGATACACTGCAGTGGATACCTAGGAGAGGATACACTGTGCCATTACATTGAAAGACTAAAACCAGAAAGGGACGTTCTTTGCCAGTATCCTCCGAAGCCAAAGAGTATAAGTAATTCAGTCTCAGTACCTGAGGTCCCAAATAAGTTATAGGCAAAGAGAAAAGGAATAAGAATGCAACTTAACTGGTTTTCTTTAATGGCAAAATTAAAATAAGTCTTTAATTATCTTATATGAGCAGTCTAAAAACACAAAAATATAAAAATATAAAATGACATATATGTCATTTTAATAAAAAAAAATCTAAAAATGACAAATGGCTCACTGGTTAAGATCACTTGCTATCCTCGCAGAGGAGCTGGGTTCAGTTCCCAGCAGCATACAGGAGCTCATACCCATCTGTAACTTTACTTCAGGGGATCCAATGCCCTCCTCTGGCCTCCAGGGGCATCAAGCATCCATGTGGCGGACAGACACACATGCAGGCAAACATTCATACACATAGAATAAAACAGACTCTTAAAAAAGAATGCTAACAGTATAGGAGTGGCAGGGAGATAAAATGTGTCCAATTGAAGAGTCTTGGAAAGCTAAATAAGACATGCCTTCTTGACTCTAGGTCTGGACCCAGTTTACCATTAAGAGCAATAGCAATAGCAGTAGCTTATATTGATTGAATACTTAATATGTACTAAATAATATGGTATACATTCTGTAAGCCCCTCAAGCCACTCCAGTGGCCAGACCCTTCCCCT